TGTGTGTGTGTGTGTGTGTGTGTGTGTGTGTGTGTGTGTGTGTGTGTGTGTGCGCGCGTGTGTGTGCGCGCGTGCGTGCGTGTATTGTCGTTATTAACGCCCTATAGTCAACTTAGCAAGCCGATTATAGAGCAACGCTTGTGCTTCTAATCGGCAACGCTATACACGCTCGTGAACTATGCGTCGCTGGTCGGTCGGATGCTCAGGAAGGAAGGTAGTCACTGCATGTCTATAGACATGTACGGGGGTTAACGCACACCGTACAATATATGCACTGCCTGTACTGCCAGTATTGTCTGTACTGTCTGTAATTCCTGTACTGCATGTACTGTATACTGAATGTATTGCCTTGTACTATGTACTATCTTGTGTGTATAATATACAGTCAACCCTGTATATATATATATAAGGTTCATTGAAGGAAAACACCAAAGGTGTCCTACACAAACAGGCGTGCTTTCTATAGGACGTGGTTTCACTACGTAATTGTCACCCAAAGAAAACGTCGATGGTCTTTTCTAATAGACAGCTGACCGCTCTATAGAGGTATATCCGCCGACTGTATGTGAAACTAGAGTTGCTACATTGCTTCCATCGATGTAATACGTGCGGGTCGCTATGAAGCTGGCCACCTAGCGGCGTAACAAGCTACTCTTGTTTCGCTTCTGTCTATGACGCTTTTGTTTCCGTTTACCCCGACTAGCAGTTTTTTTCTAATTGCTGGTTAACTGCTACCTACTGAATTACGTGGTATTATCCGTCTGTTTTTTTTTACTAGACCTCGACTAAAATTGCTCGGTTTAGAAAAATTGCTTGGGTTCGTGTGCTTATAATTATAGACTTTGTTCATATATTGTACTGGTTTTGGGAATTATTATTATACAAGGACACCCGAAAAAGAAGAGATAACGAAAACGAGAGAATGAGGGAGAGGGAGATTGAGAGAGAGAGAGATAGAGGGAGAGAGAGAGGACGAGAGAACGACAGAGCGAGACAGAGGGAGAGATAGGGAGAGAGAAAGAGAGCGAGAGAGAGAGAGAGAGAGAGAGAGAGAGAACGAGAAGAAGAGAAAGTGAGACAGGGCAATATATCTATATCTATCTATATATATATATATATGTATATATAAGCCGACTCTTTTTACCTATGATTCCGTTCACTGTAAACGCTATCCACAAAGTTCCTCAGCCATCAAACAATGACGCAGTGCCGGTAGCACGAGAACACCCACCGATCCACTTATTCACTGTTTCACTTATTCACCGATCCACCTAGTCACTGTTTTACTTATTCACCGATCCACTTATTCACTGTTTCACTTATTCACCGATCCACCTAGTCACTGTTTTACTTATTCACCGATCCACTTATTCACCGTTGCACTTATTCACCGTCACACTTGTAACTGTTTCACTTATTCACTGATTCACTTATTTACTGTATCACTTATTTACGGATCCGTTTATTCACCGTTGCACTTATTCACCGATCCACTTATT